TGCGGTGCCACATGTGATAGGAAAGTCAGAAACGTGAGTCAGAGCCCAGCACCTGCTCAGGGATCAGGACCGATGTGGAAATGGCGGCATCCATGTGCACAGAGCAAGGGGCTGTTACAAAGGGGGAAACTGAGGCAGGGGTCTTCGTGATAAGCTGTCTAGCTTAGATAACCACTTCCTGTAGGCATGCCACGGCTGTGTCAGGGTAGGCCAGTGTGGGCATACGCCAGATGGTAGTTAGTGAGAGCGTGTGGGGACGCCCCGGCTCCTTGAGGGGGTTGGGGAGAGATGGGAGGAAGGAAGGAGGAGGCCCATCTGAGCCTCAGAGGCAGACAGAGGGAGGGGGGGCAGGCTGGAGCCGGCAGTTTTGGGAACAAAGACGTAATTCTCACAGGTCCCTGTGCCCTCAACTCCCTCTCACGGTGCTATTTCATGGATTAACCTGCCGTGTGTATGTTTGGCCGTCCAAACTGGATTGTGAATTTCAGTTGTTCAGCAGACATTTATTCAGTGTCTTCTATTCTATGGGGCACTGACTCCGGTGCTGGGTTTGGGCCCCCACTACACCTGGGCCAGTGCTATACGCAGAAAACATGCTCAGTGAGCACTGAATGGAGGGATGGGTGATAGACAGACAGATGGAGGGATGGATGGAGGGATGGATAGAAGGAAGCATATGTGGGTGGATGGATAAGAGGATGATGAAAATGAATGGATGGATGGATGGATGAGTGAATGGATGGATGGATGGAGGGAGGGAGGGAGGGAGGGAGGGAGGGAGGGAGGGAGGGAGGGAGGGAGGGAGGGAGGGAGGGAGGGAGGGAGGGAGGGAGGGAGGGAGGGAGGGAGGGAGGGAGGGAGGGAGGGAGGGAGGGAGGGAGGGAGGGAGGGAGGGAGGGAGGGAGGGAGGGAGGGAGGGAGGGAGGGAGGGAGGGAGGGAGGGAGGGAGGGAGGGAGGGAGGGAGGGAGGGAGGGAGGGAGGGAGGGAGGGAGGGAGGGAGGGAGGGAGGGAGGGAGGGAGGGAGGGAGGGAGGGAGGGAGGGAGGGAGGGAGGGAGGGAGGGAGGGAGGGAGGGAGGGAGGGAGGGAGGGAGGGAGGGAGGGAGGGAGGGAGGGAGGGAGGGAGGGAGGGAGGGAGGGAGGGAGGGAGGGAGGGAGGGAGGGAGGGAGGGAGGGAGGGAGGGAGGGAGGGAGGGAGGGAGGGAGGGAGGGAGGGAGGGAGGGAGGGAGGGAGGGAGGGAGGGAGGGAGGGAGGGAGGGAGGGAGGGAGGGAGGGAGGGAGGGAGGGAGGGAGGGAGGGAGGGAGGGAGGGAGGGAGGGAGGGAGGGAGGGAGGGAGGGAGGGAGGGAGGGAGGGAGGGAGGGAGGGAGGGAGGGAGGGAGGGAGGGAGGGAGGGAGGGAGGGAGGGAGGGAGGGAGGGAGGGAGGGAGGGAGGGAGGGAGGGAGGGAGGGAGGGAGGGAGGGAGGGAGGGAGGGAGGGAGGGAGGGAGGGAGGGAGGGAGGGAGGGAGGGAGGGAGGGAGGGAGGGAGGGAGGGAGGGAGGGAGGGAGGGAGGGAGGGAGGGAGGGAGGGAGGGAGGGAGGGAGGGAGGGAGGGAGGGAGGGAGGGAGGGAGGGAGGGAGGGAGGGAGGGAGGGAGGGAGGGAGGGAGGGAGGGAGGGAGGGAGGGAGGGAGGGAGGGAGGGAGGGAGGGAGGGAGGGAGGGAGGGAGGGAGGGAGGGAGGGAGGGAGGGAGGGAGGGAGGGAGGGAGGGAGGGAGGGAGGGAGGGAGGGAGGGAGGGAGGGAGGGAGGGAGGGAGGGAGGGAGGGAGGGAGGGAGGGAGGGAGGGAGGGAGGGAGGGAGGGAGGGAGGGAGGGAGGGAGGGAGGGAGGGAGGGAGGGAGGGAGGGAGGGAGGGAGGGAGGGAGGGAGGGAGGGAGGGAGGGAGGGAGGGAGGGAGGGAGGGAGGGAGGGAGGGAGGGAGGGAGGGAGGGAGGGAGGGAGGGAGGGAGGGAGGGAGGGAGGGAGGGAGGGAGGGAGGGAGGGAGGGAGGGAGGGAGGGAGGGAGGGAGGGAGGGAGGGAGGGAGGGAGGGAGGGAGGGAGGGAGGGAGGGAGGGAGGGAGGGAGGGAGGGAGGGAGGGAGGGAGGGAGGGAGGGAGGGAGGGAGGGAGGGAGGGAGGGAGGGAGGGAGGGAGGGAGGGAGGGAGGGAGGGAGGGAGGGAGGGAGGGAGGGAGGGAGGGAGGGAGGGAGGGAGGGAGGGAGGGAGGGAGGGAGGGAGGGAGGGAGGGAGGGAGGGAGGGAGGGAGGGAGGGAGGGAGGGAGGGAGGGAGGGAGGGAGGGAGGGAGGGAGGGAGGGAGGGAGGGAGGGAGGGAGGGAGGGAGGGAGGGAGGGAGGGAGGGAGGGAGGGAGGGAGGGAGGGAGGGAGGGAGGGAGGGAGGGAGGGAGGGAGGGAGGGAGGGAGGGAGGGAGGGAGGGAGGGAGGGAGGGAGGGAGGGAGGGAGGGAGGGAGGGAGGGAGGGAGGGAGGGAGGGAGGGAGGGAGGGAGGGAGGGAGGGAGGGAGGGAGGGAGGGAGGGAGGGAGGGAGGGAGGGAGGGAGGGAGGGAGGGAGGGAGGGAGGGAGGGAGGGAGGGAGGGAGGGAGGGAGGGATGGATGGGCGGATGGATGAGTGGATGGATAGGTAGACTTGGGGTAAAGCAAGCCCTTTCAGGAGTCCTTCTGGAAAGAACGCGCAGCCTGGTTTCTCCTGGTTTCTGGAGCCGGCGCGGAATGCCAAGGCGCGGCGTTTCTTGCCGTGTAACCTGGAAAGGCTCCGTGTGTCCCGGCAGCAGTTTCTTTCCACACCCAGGGAGGCCGCTTTCCGCTGACTCTGCACCGTTTCCGGCAGGTCCCTGGCCTGGCTGGCGCCCTCGGCTTTTCCTGTCCTGGGAGGCTGAGTGGGCACCGGACCAAACCCACCGTTCGTCTGGCAGGAAAGAAAGAGCACACGGCCCTTCTCCCCCCAGAGCTCCCAGCATCCTCCTCGGGGCCAG